TAGGGACAATTCAGCGTTACTAATCAGCCTAACGTGCATGTTTTTGGACTGTGGGAGGAAACCAGAGCACCCGGAGAAAACCCACGCATGCATGGAGAGAACATGCAAACTCCACCCAGAAGGGCCCCTGGACCGGGGTTTGAACCAAGGACCTGCTTGCTGAGAGGCAGCAGCTCTACCAGTTGCGCCACCGTGCTGCCCAAGAAATTACTTTTTTTTTCATTCAACCATTATTTAGACAGGTAATCCCATTGAGCCTCGAGGACTCATTTACAAGAGAGACATGATTTCAACAAAGAAAGATGACAACAATGGACAACAGCAACAACAATAAACAATTATAAAAAGTAATACTGCAGTTTTTTTTTTTTTGTTTTTTTTACAAATAGGATGGCTAAAAGAAAAAAGGTAACAAAAAAACAGCTAGATTCTAAGGTGAATGTAGAAAACTAAAAACAGGAACATGTCTGCATTGGTCCCTGTCAGGAGTCCAACAGATTCTTAAGGCCACTTAGAGAGGTCAAGGTCGAGAGCTTCAAATCTTTTTGTAAGATATTCCAGGAAACAGGAGCGGAGTAGGAGAAGGCCCTTTTGCCTAGTTCAGTCCTCATTGAGGGAACACTGCAGGTAATAATATCCTGAGAGCGCACTCCGTAGCTGCAGTCACGCAGAGACATGTAGGAGGAGATGTATGAAGGCAGCAGACCAAGAAGTGATTTAAAGATGAAGATGTACCAGTGAGAGAGTCTGCGTGAAGTTAATGATGTCCAGTTAACCAGTGAATACAGGGTGCAGTGGTTAGGGCTGGGCGATGTATCGAATATACTCGATGTATCTCAAGTTTTTCAATTTACGATGGTTAAAATGGCTCTATCGCAACCATCGAGTATAAATTGCCATTCAAATAATACGCTTTCCGCATCAAATTCACTGTGAGTTTCGTTTATCCGACACGCTACGAATGCATCACTACTCCCTGCCCCCTCCCAACCTGAAAATGTTCCGCATGACACGCTGTGCGGAGCATGCGCATATAGACTTGGATAAAGGAAAAAATATGGCGACTGGGAGATTCTCGTGAGCGGGTGAATGAGACGATAACTGAAGAGTCCAATGAACTAGTTCTGAAGAGAAACAGCACTGGCTCAATAATCTGGCAGTGGTTTGGATTTTAGAAGGAGGATGTTGAATAAAATGCGGTAATTTGCAAAACTTGTCGTAAAACCATTGCCACGAAAGGAAGCAGTACCACAAATTTATTTCACCACCTAAGAAGTCATCCACTGCAAAATGAAGAATGTTGTAAACTTCGTATGTCCACGTCTCTCCACACAACAAAGACAACGTTAAATAATACAGCTGCGAAGCAGATGACACTAGCTTCTTCGTTTGCCAAAGCCATCCCGTATGACAGAAAAAGTACAAAGTGGAGAGAAATCACTGACGTAGTAACAAAATTGATTTTACAATTTTTATGCAAAAAGCACTAACAAGCACTTTTTTTTCAGACAACTGGTTTATTTTTCATTGTGGATTTGTGCTTGGTGTACTTTTTTTGCTCGTTTATCTTGTTTATTAAAGGTATAGTGTTGACCACAGTAAGAGACAGTGGTACTAATTTCATTACTGAAGAACATGATTTGTGTGCAACTGATGGTTACAATAAAACATTTTAAACTTATTCTGATTTTGTATTCAATTAAAAAAAAAACATCAATGGTCTGTTTGAATAGAGTACACCAGTGCCATTTTAAATACTAGTTTAAAGTAACACTGGAGATTATTTATTAATATCGTGATATATATCGTGTATCGTGATATAGCAAAATAATATCGGGATATTAGATTTTCCTCATATCTCCCAGCCCTAGCAGTGGTGGTTACGATAATCACAGCCAGTTATGAATCTTAGTGCACCGTGATAGACAGCATCCAACATCTGCAGGGTTCTTGTAGGAGCGTTCATGTAAATAATGTCACCGTAATCAATGGAGGGAAGGAAAGTCACAGATACAAGGCATTTTCTAACATTCAGGGTTAGACAGGATCTGTTTCTGAAAAAGAAACCCAGTTTAACTTTCAGTTTCTTTACCAAGTTTTCCACATGGAGCTTAAAAGAGAGATGTGAGTCGACCAAGATACCCAAATATTTATAGGAATCAACAAACTCAATGGGGACACCATTTGAGGATAAAATCGGAGGAAGAACTGCTGGGACCAACTTCCTATTTGAAAAAAGCATCCCTTTGGTTTTGTCGGCATTTAGGACAAGATTGAGGCGGAACAAATCAGTCTGGTGTAAGGATCCAGCCCTGCACCCTGCCTTTCTCTCTCCTCATCACTCCTAATTGGCTCCAGCTGCAGATGATCAGCTCAACACTGTTGTGTTTTTATTTACTTCTCCACCCGAGTCTGTTACCTTTTAATCCTGCAGGAAGTCATTCAAAGACACGCACTTAAATACAAGACACACACCTTCATGTTTATGAATATTTAATAAGCAAAGGAATTCAGAAGTCATAAAGTTGTCAGATTCACAAGCATAAACAGTGGGTTAGTTAAATGCAGTCGTTATTTTAGCATATTAAAAACAGGATGCATCCCTTTAAACTCTACAATACAACCTGGTTTAAGGAGGAATCTGAAAACGTCCGTCTCTCTGCTTCATTCTGCTCTGGCTCGCTGCTGGCTGCTGCTTCGTCTCTCTGCTCACTCACACGAGGAGAGAAAACTCTCCACATCCTTTGTTCTGTGAAAAAGGGCGTTCCTTACACAGCAAAACTAACTTTTCAGCGCGTTCTGAGTCTGCTGTCATGATTGGCCAGTTTTAATCCAATCAGAAGTGGTTTACATCTGTTACATTATGTAAACAGGAACAGACTTCAATCTTTGGGGGCCTCTTCAAAGTAAAACAGGAAGTGGGTCAATTTCAAAATAAAATAAGAATAGGAATGTTAAATTCAACAAAGAACACAATCTTTATTTCACAACAATTCCCCCTTTCGACCTCATCTAAAAGAGGTCGACATCAAACGGAAGAATATGCTGAAACAACAGGTAAATTTTCAAAACCTGTCGCAATCTGATCTGCTAATTTGTGCTCACAGGAACTCCCCTAGGGATTCCTATGGCATCAATATATGTAGTAGAGCCCACAGTGGGGTCAAAATTATGCATTGAACATCTCTTCCTACTGGGAGAGATGTAGGTGTCATTTAAAACTTCCAAACGAGGGCCAATCAAGGTTAACGATGCAGCTAAGCGTACTAATGCACACAATCCCACAGTATCCTGAGGGATATGTGTTAATAAACGTCTACCACCACAATAATAATACAAATTAACACTCTGTTAATATACTGCTCATAATTGATTATAGGTATTTCTTTTCAACGTTACAAACTGAATATACTTATCACTTTCAAGCTAAGTAAATAAAAGGATGCACTCTAAATCAAGACTGCAGTTAAAAGATAAGAGAAAAATGGTTAGTACACATGTCATACAATATTGTTACAATCACAAGTACTCAGGGCATACCCTGGGGTGCTCAGAGACCGTTCCTCCTATGTCTCTGAGTTTTCTTCATGAAGTGTGAGACTCTAAGATGTCGTGTTTTTGTCGTATCTAGGTGTCTGTACTAAATGTGGATATTCCAG